AGCCTTGCCAACCTGGCGGCGGCTTACGGAGTTCCGAGTGATAATGATAGCTTCACCTACACATCATCAGATATGAGTATGTCGTTTTCGTTATGGTATACAAGGCGACTTACCAGGCCGCACGTCCTCCCAGTCGGTGAAGCTGCTTGCATCCGCAACGACGCTCTCGCTCGCGAAGAGGTAATCCGTACCGCCGCTGGCCGTTTTCCGTGAGGCCATACCAAGCGGCCGGATACCATTCGGGTCGCGGAATGCGATGATGCCGAAGCCAGCGAGCATCGCTACACAGGCATATGCACCCTTGCACTGCTCCATCAAGCCACCGATCGCGGTGAAGATATCCTCCTCGTTGATACGGAACTTGCCGGTCTTCTGCAGATTGTCCGCGAAGATGTTGAGAAGCAGTTCCGAGTCGGACGTCGTGTTGATGTGCCGGTGTGCAGTCGCATCCATGAACTGCAGTAACGACTCGGTGTTGATCAGGTTACCGTTGTGCGCCAGGACGATGCCGTAAGGCGAATTGACGTAGAAGGGCTGCGCCTCGGCGCGGTGCGAGCTTCCGGCGGTCGGGTAGCGCACTGCAGGAGTTGTACGGTCGGAGGATGTTACAAGTGAGATAAGCAGCAGTGCGTACCATGTCCGACACCCATTCCGCCGATGAGAGACGACAGAGCGTTCGAGTCGAAGACGTCGCGGACCATGCCGTTCGCCTTGCACTGGTAGAAACGGCCCTTGTGTCCACATGTCACGATACCGCAGGCGTCCTGGCCTCGGTGCTGGAGGAGAGAGAGGCCCTCGCAGATCTCGGGAGCAGCATCTATGGAGGGGTCGTGGAGGAGGAGACCTAGGATTCCGCACACTGCGGCGGATCATTCGCACGGGAGCGGAGGAGCACGAGACGGCGGACTCACTGGTTGAATGCGATGGCGAGCTGGGACCCGGCGGGACGAACGTGCGAGGTGCAGACACATCTTCAAGCCAGCTGCCCGCCACAAATTTTGCTTTTGAGCTCGCGCGCAACGGTCCGGCTGCCCGCCCCCTTCCTCATTTTTTCGAGCGCGCGCGAGTGACGTTGGGGACGCGCGCAGGCCCCCGGGTACTGCATCGGCGCTCGCAGGGGACTTGCTTCCGCCGCGATATCCCTCCGTGCATGCGGATGGCAGCGAAAATATTGCGTTGCACAGAATAAAATCTTGCCTGCGACAACGCTGAACTTGCACCGCACAGTGCGCCTGGTCGCGCGCGTCGTCGCCCTCGTCAGGGCCGCCGTCGGACGAAATCGGCGCCGGGGGAGAGCGGAGCTGAGCTGGGGGTGAAATTGAACTTTATTCCGTGGACGTGGAAGGCGTCGCTCAGGCTTGCTCCCCAAACACTTCATCGTCAACGTCGTCCACGATGCTCACCTCTCGCGGCGTGCACCGTCTCTCTCGCAGGGCGCTGAACAGCGCCAGGAAGACGAACGCGTTCTTCTCCACCGCTGCTGCCGCCCCCGCCGTTGCCCGCGCGGTCTCTGCGCCCTCCTCGTCACAGCGCGTACAGGCCCGCCCCGCCCGCGCCTCCCCCCAGTCCGGTTGGTCTCCTTTCTCACTCGTTTCCATACCCAGGCAGCTCACGTTGGCATGAATACCCGCGAAAAAATCGTGTCTGCACGCGTACCACGTACACTTGCACTTCCTGACGCGTTTTCCACCGTAAGTCCGCACCTACGCGACCGAGGCCAAGGGCGCTGTCGGCCAAGTCAAGACCGTCATTGGTGCCGTCGTTGACGTGCAATTTGAGTCGGATAATCTTCCGCGCATTCTCAATGCGCTCGAGGTTGTCGACTTCCACGGTGGGCGTCTCGTCCTCGAGGTCGCTGCGCACCTCGGTGAGAACTCTGTCCGTACCATTGCCATGGACGGTACCGAGGGTCTCGTCCGTGGCCAGAAGGTCGTCGACACCGGCGCGCCGATCAAGATTCCCGTCGGTAACGCAACCCTCGGTCGTATCATGAACGTTATTGGTGAGCCTATCGACGAGCGGGGTCCCATCAAGGGCGTCAAGCTGTGCCCCATCCACGCCGAACCCCCGCCGTTCGTCGACCAGTCGACTACTGCGGAGGTCCTGGAGACCGGTATCAAGGTCGTCGACCTCCTTGCCCCCTACGCCCGTGGTGGAAAAATTGGTCTCTTCGGTGGTGCCGGTGTCGGCAAGACTGTGCTGATTCAGGAGCTCATCAACAACGTCGCAAAGGCGCACGGTGGTTTCTCCATTTTCTGCGGTACGCCAGACGTCCTGAGAGCATCCTGAACGCGCATAATCAATCTCCTCTAGGTGTTGGCGAGCGTACCCGTGAGGGTAACGACTTGTACCACGAGATGATTGAGACCGGTGTCATCAACCTCGAAGGTGACTCCAAGGTCGCTCTCGTCTTCGGTCAGATGAACGAGCCCCCGGGTGCGCGTGCCCGTGTCGCGCTCACTGGTCTGACGATTGCGGAGTACTTCCGTGACGAGGAGGGTCAGGATGTGTTGCTCTTCATCGACAACATTTTCCGTTTCACCCAGGCCGGTTCCGAGGTGTCTGCCCTGCTCGGTCGTATCCCGTCTGCCGTCGGTTACCAGCCCACGCTCTCCACAGACATGGGTGGCATGTAAGTAGCATTACAATATACGCCTTGTGCGTATATTGACGAGCTCTATACAGGCAGGAGCGTATCACTACCACCAAGAAGGGTTCTATCACCTCCGTGCAGGCCGTCTACGTGCCCGCCGATGATTTGACGGATCCTGCCCCGGCCACGACCTTCGCGCACTTGGACGCTACGACTGTGTTGTCGCGTTCGATTGCTGAGCTCGGTATTTACCCCGCTGTCGACCCCCTGGACTCGAAGTCTCGTATGCTCGACCCCCGTATCGTGAGTTGGCGCAATCGTATGGAAGGCTTGAAATCATCTGAATCTTGTATCTGCATCGTACAGGTTGGCCGGGAGCACTACGATGTCGCGACTGCCGTCCAGAAGATCCTTCAGGACTACAAGTCGCTCCAGGATATCATTGCTATTCTGGGTATGGATGAGTTGTCTGAAGAGGATAAGCTGACGGTGCGGTGCTTGTTTTTTATTCCTTCCAAATTGACAGCTAATGATATTCTTCCTCCAGGTCGAGCGTGCGCGTAAGATCCAACGTTTCATGTCGCAGCCTTTCGCGGTCGCGCAGGTCTTCACTGGTTTCGAGGGTCGGCTCGTCCCCCTGAAGGACACCATCCGCTCCTTCAAGGAGATTCTCGCTGGCACACACGACAACCTTCCTGAGTCTGCGTTCTACATGGTGTGTTCACATGTCCTTCTTTTCTGATTTGGGACTGACGCTTGCAACGCAGGTTGGCACGATCGAGGACGTGAAGGCCAAGGCAGAGCAGCTCGCGAAAGAGATGGGCGAGTCATAACCGGGTTGAGCGTGTGCACGCGCGTTGTCTGCTTGTTGTCGAGCATCTACTAGACACATACATCGGGACTGCCGTCAATAAAATGAACGAGTCGTGTTAGTCGTGAATATACTACAGGCCATCGAATCACGGATATTACCACGATAGGAGGCTGACAAGCTAGTTAGCTTTGACCACAGGACTGGGTATGCTTGAGCCCATGGATCATCCGGACGGTCCCCGGCAATGATAGAGGGATGTAAGTAGTTCAGGGCTGTGCTGCCTCAGAAAACTGGGATGCGAACCCTCTACGGTAACATTCAAAGGCAATGAATACCGAAGTCTTCTAAAGATCGAGAACTGCCCCCACTCGGTTGAATATACAGACACATCAATTTTATCTAATTTTCGTTCTGCGCATTCGAGACATTTCCTCGCCAAAGTCCTCGATGATGATACATACAAGTTGGCTCCTTGTCCATGTCAAAGCTGATCATCTCGCGGCATCCTGCTCACATGTTCATACTGCGCACAGCGGTTGCTCAGATTTCGGCGGTACCTCGAACGCCTCCCGACCAATCCACAATTGCGAGTAAATCCGCAGGAGAATCGACAAGGTCAGTTCGAGCACGATCCTCAGTTCGGACCCTGCGTTCTGTAGATCGCACTTCCACGAGTGTGGATGTTTGGGTTGCATCTTATGGCGAAAATACTGGTAGACTAGGTGTTATTAGCATACCATTTCTCCCGTGGAGGGTTCCGTGGAGGAGCGATGTATTCTTGTCCTGGGTTGGCTGGAAATGTAGTAGGCGACGATACATTCCAGTGATACTCATACTTTTCGTCATTCTTCGGAATCATTTATGAATACTACAGGGCGCAGCACCTAAGTTCCCGTGCCTTGTAGTCGAAAAGCCGACATCAATGCAAACATGAAAAGATACGCTTTCGTGATATCAGAACTGATACATCGATAGAGCGCGGCAAGTCCAAAATATCCACATAGAGAAGAATAGACATTGCCCGTTCGAGGAACGTTCTCGCTCAAATCATGTATAGGAAGTAGACCCAAGTCCAACAGTCGCATGCAATAGTGCCGTATTTCACCAACAGCGGTATGGGCGACTTCTGAAGGTAAGCCTTTGAGGACATATCACCAAGTCATCAAGAATGTCAATCTGATGTGGGGCAAGTTTAACAAGGACGGCACGCTTTCTACTTCATGTTGGTCAGTGTTCACCCCCGCGCGCTGCTGATTAGCTCGTTGTATACTGGCAGGTCAGAAGGACGCTGAGATCTCTGAGGAAAACGTGGAGGGAACGAAAGTTCTGTCCGGCGCCGAATACACCATAAACTTGTGCGGCCGCTCTGACTCGCCCTCTGGCAGTACCGGCACTGAGGTCAAGCTCGAGGAGGAAGGCGGCGCGGCCGTGTGCCGCTTCTACTGGGACTGCCCCTGGGGCATCAAGACGAACACTTGGACTACTTGATCATAAGCTTCAGTGTCGCTAATCTTATGTCTTAAAGACGGAAGAGGAGACCGTCGCCAACTTAGACAACCATTAATGTAAATGCATGTGTATCTTTTAAGTTGAGCTCTCGTAGTCTAATGGTTAGGACGTCAGATTCCTATGATTTATCATCTGGAGGCTGCGGGTTCGAGTCCCGCCGAGAGTACTAATCAGATTAATCTATAACTTTTAGTTGGCTATTTCTCATGCGAGGATGCTGCCTGCTATCCGTTTTGTCAGTGATGTCATTCATTTTTGAACTTGATGCCGCCTCGATTCTGCAAGTGTATGAGGCCACCGGTCTGAAAGTTACCGCATCTACAAATCCTACTTGTCGAACTGTTGAAAGTACTATGATTGCAGCTTGAAGGGGTCTTAGAGCTACAAAATCTGTGGTGCGTGATATAGCTATCGAGTCTATGCTACATGCAGTACAGGATATTGGATGGCTGCGCAGAACGCCTGGGCCGTCGCCGACAGTGCAGCACAAGACTAGTGGGAAATTACGAGAGAACTAACACGGCTGAGGAGTGCGTTATAGAGGAGATCCGCCGATTCACCATTGCTCTCCGACACCTTCGTGTCCTCGATCTCGCGAAGGACCTTTTCTACGTACTCTGAGGCACCAGACAAGTGAAACACTCGTGCACAATTGGCATGTAGGGCAAGCGGCTTCCGGTTGGGGTTGGGAAATAGACACATCTCCCCCGTTCTCTCGTCAGCGAATGGGTTTGGCTCGAAGGTAATGGTCTCGGGAAGATCGCTCGGGAGAATATCAATACAAGAGCGTACGAGATACATGTCCATCTGGTGTATCGTTGGGTGCCTCGCGGACATTATTGTGCGGGGACTGCTTACCTCTGCCTTTGCCCCCAGCTAAATTCCAAGGCGTCGAAGTATATGTGGTTGTCAAGGCTCAAGTCATGATATTCCTAAGGTCATGAACGCCATCTCCAGAGATGAACTGTTCAATGTCAACGTCGCCATAACGTTCGAGCATCGCCAAGACGCTAGCTGCATAGTTGCGCTAGATAGCAGCTGTAAGTATAACGATGGAGCTGCATTAGCAGTTGAGTAGAGCCTGACCTCGTCCGGGTCACCAACATTTCCGATTGTCGACCTGTCGACGACATGTACACACTCCGTATAGACCAAGTTCTCAGCGGCGTGGTGTTTGGCTTTTTCCGGACACACAAGAGGAAACGTCAACACCGACGAACACGCAGCGATACCGATACGTGTCCCGCCGCAGGGCCTGCCCAAAGTCAAGATCCATGATATCAAACAGAATAGAATCCCACTAACGAAGTCTCCAGCTTTCCTGCGGTCCTCAAGACACTCTTTCGGGAGTAAAATGATGTCCTCCACTTCCACATCTGATGCTAAAGAGTGTTCACTATGGGTAGCAGTACGTCCCTCGTGAGCTCGAACTGGCCAGAGTCTTGTCAGACAGGTCGAGACGGGTATAGCCATGCATCACTTGCAACAACGTAAGATGAAGTCTTTGAACATGTTCCCGAGTGTGCGCACTGGTTTATGATTAGTCTCGCAATCGTTGATATTGCTGGCGATCGTGGCCCCGTCGTCGGGGAACGGTGCGTAGAGAAGCACATAGCCAAGGATACGAGCCGCTACCTGCTCGGTGGTACCAGTTTTTGGAGGGCAACCGAGGAGCCCTTGGTTTCAAATTCACGGCATCGATTGTAAGTTCGAATCCCGGAAGTTGCAATGCGGGGTCGAAGGGATTCTTCTCCGGAAGAGTTGTACTCAGTGGGACGCCACCGTTATCCTCGGTTCACACGGTTCTGATGTGCGCGTCAACTGAGCGCTTACTGAGTTGAGGTAACTTGGCTGCAGTCCTTGTCGGCCGTCATTGCGCACATTCTCGTATCAATGGCACACTCATAAACATCTCTTGAGAATACGCCATGGCAGCCAACAACCCTTCAGGCCCCTCAAACTCGCGCCCGAGAGCCTCCTCCCGACCTCTCCACGGCTCTCAGTCGATATTTCCCTCCGCTAGCAGCTCGCGTCCGTTTCTCCACATGCTCAACCCTCTAGGGCGGACGTATCAGGGCTACGCGCAGGCCAATCAGTCGGTTCTCGAGGAAGAGGAAGAAGAGGATGGCGAGCAGCCAGATCTTGAAGCGGGACATGCCAACCCGAGTACGCTGTTCAAGAGCGGAAGCAAGTCGCACGGGAGGCAGCGCGTTTCCTGGGGCGGGGACGCATCCGAGATGAACGTGCTCAGGCCAAACATACGCCAGGAGGACGCGAAACATGATCAAGATTCGTCCGGGGACGAGGCACCGCAGAACTACATGATCGAGACAGCCACACCAGCTGTGCGGAGACAGTCGTCACCCCGCAACATGTCCAAGGGCAAGGAGCGAGAAACTCGCAGGCAGCCATTATCTTCTGCATCGCAGCGGCAGACTCCACCCGTGCTGCCTACGGTGCAGGTATCCATTCCACCGCGGCCTTCAGAGCTTGAAGCGGAGGCCCGTGGACAGCCATTGCGTGAACCGCATGTGAGACAGATGGGCGGTCTGGATGCGCATGAGCGTGCGCTATGGAATTGGGTTAATGTGTATAATTTGGATGCCTTTCTGCAAGAGGCATACTATTACTATGAGGGGAAAGGAATATATAGCATCGCATTGTCTCGGGGGCTGAACTTACTGTTAGTTTATCTTCCTCGTCTAGTTAATTTAAGTTACTGACGACATTGGCTTCTCGCAGCACAGTCGGATTTGTCATTGGCTTCTCGACATTCTTGCTGGGATGCGTGGATTACTCCCGTCTCAAGCCAGATAGAGCAGCTCGACTTTCCGGTGCAATTGTCGGGCGTTGCGTGTCTAGGTAAGTGATATTTATATGACACTCTCGCTGCTCACTAACTCTACTCAGATTTTCGGGTTTTTCGTTCTTGCTCTTTGTATTATTCGCTGCCTTCTTTGCATGGCAGCTTGTATCTTTCGTCCTCAGCATACGCAGGCTGGTGGACATGTACCACTTCTATACACATCTGCTCCACATTCCAGACGTCCGTACCTCTTCACTCTTTTCCCGAGCTCATCCTGAATTCATATCATCCTCGGAATTTAGGCAGATATCCAGACTATATCATGGCCTGAGGTAGTGCGACGCATCGGAGCCATCCGTGAGGACAACCCGCTCACGGCGATCTCTTCGGCGAACGCGGCGCAGTCGGTGACGGCCAAGCTGGACGCACACGACATTGCGAACCGCATCATGCGGCAGGAGAACTATCTCATTGCGCTGTTCAACAAGGAGCTCCTCGACCTCCGCGTCCCGCTGCCGCCGTTCTTGAAGCGGTTCATCGTCCCTAAAGAAGACGGCAAAGGGCGCATGCTCACACAGGCGTTGGAATGGAATTTAAGGTTTTGTCTCATGGAATATCTATTCGACCCAAGCGGACGAGTGAGGAAGGTATTCCTTAAGGCGAAGAACAGGACGGTCCTCATTGAAGGGTAGCCGACTTCTCTCCTTCATACCTGTCAGAAAGACTGATGATCTCTCAGCTTGCGCAGGCGCTTGATCTTCATGGGCGTTCTAAACGCGATCTTCGCGCCATTCATTGTATTATATCTACTCATGTATTCATTCTTCCGGTACTTCGAGGTGGGTGTGCGATCTCGATGCATGGCCAATGTTCTAACATCCGCCGCAGGAGTACCGCAACAACCCATCTAACATCGGCGGACGGAGATACACCCTATATGCGCAATGGAAGTTCCGCGAATTTAATGAGCTTCCTCATCTCTTTCGACGGCGGCTAAAGGAGTCGTATCCCATTGCGAGCATGTATATCGGCCAATTTCCCAATGAAAAGGTGACACTAATCGTCCGGTACGTTTCGCCGCTATTCTATGCACGGAGACGTCTACTTATCCGTGCTCAGATTCGTTGCATTCATTGCAGGCTCCTTTGCAGCGGTGCTCCTTCTTATGATAGTCATTGATCCGGATTTCTACTCCCATTTTGAGGTCACGCCTCACCGTACTGTGCCATTCTACTTGGGTGTCTTCGCTGGAGTTCTCGCAGTCGCAAGGGGCATGATCCCGGAAGAGAACATGGTGTTCGACCCGGAGCTGCTCATGACTGAGGTCGTCCAGTACACCCACTACATGCCAGACGAATGGAAGGGGCAATTGCATTCAAAGAAGGTACACTCTCCCCTACCGCATCCTCTATGCCTGTATTTACTGTGAACGCCAGGTGCACGAAGCATTTGGGCAAATCTTTGCGATGAAGGTCATGATATTCGCGCAGGAGCTACTCTCTGTCATCCTGACACCATTCGTGCTCTGGTACTCTCTACCGCCATGTGCGCCGGAAATCATCGATTTCTTCCGCGACTTCACGGTACACGTGGACAGCTTGGGGTATGTATGCAGCTTTGCCGTGTTTGACTTCCAGCGGCACGGCAATGTCAAGGTTCGTGTAATCTCCTTCTTTACAAAGCCATCGTACTGAAGAAAACGCAGTTCGGAGCTCCTACGAAGGTGGATGACGAGCGGCTGTTGTCGAAGGAAGGCAAGATGGAGAAGAGCTTCTTAAACTTTAAGGTTCGTGCTCCTCAGCTTGCTTCTGTGAAATGAAGAGCTCATGGTTGTGTTCAGGCTGCACATCCAGAATGGATGCCAAGGGACCCAAGCGGTTCGCTCTACCTGAGCCGCATGGCGGACCTCAGCGCCGCACACCCCGTCGGGCTCGGCCGCCGGCGCCTCCTGCGCCGGCCCTCCGAGTCGGGCATGGGGCCCGTGATGGAGTCAACGCCGCACGTGGGGTCGGGCGAGCTGCGCACGGACCTCGCGGACAGGGCGCAGGAGTACGACCGCGCGCTGCGGCAGAGCCAGAGCGTGCGCCGGCGCGGGAGCGTGCTGCGCGAGAGCGTGCGCGTGGGCCCGGGGGCGTCGTCGATCTTCCAGTCGGGCGTTGGCGGGATGGACCTGGCGCGGACCGCGGTGCTGGGCGACTCGCAGGGGAGCGTGGCCCCGCCCGCGGAGGCGCAGGAGCCGGCGCCGATCTCGGAGGAGGACCTTGCTCCGGATGGGGGTGTGGGGAGCATGCTGGGCGAGTCATATGTGGATGGGAGGAAGCCCCGCCCGACGGTTGCGCAGTCGCAGCAGGAGGAGGACG